TTTTCATAATGTCCGTGAATCGCGGTATTCAACTTCCGCATCTCGTTTTTTTCTTGTGAAAACTAACGTGGGCCTCTTCGATAGATAACCCTGAGTTTAGAGTATAGAAAGAAAGTTGTGGAGAATTTTATCAGCTCTCATTTGATATCAGGAAACTTTTTTCTACGACGAACCGTTTTCGACATATCGTCGGCTTACTGTCAAAACCTCGAAAGTCTTTCAGAGCTAATTGTTCAGGAGGGGAAAACACGCTTTCCACTAGGTACTTCGAACGATTCAATTTCATTTTTTTAAGGCTATTCCTCCTTTGTAAACGACATACATATTAACAAGTATAAATTGAACATTATTCAGACTGAATTGGTTTTGATCAATTACTAGTGAACATTGTCATTTTGTTTGGCCTTGCTTCACTGTGCATGTAGCAAATCAGCGGCAAATTTGATAACAATGAGAAATATGGGTTCAACAATAATGAACCGAAATATTTCAATCAATGTCTTCATTTGGAATGAACAGAATAAAATTATACAAATATCCATAACATCTTCTCAAAAATTCCTAAGCCCTCTACTAGATAGATAACATACAGATCAGAACCTCTTAAGTCTGTTCACGTGAGAAATCAAAACAAGATTGTCCTTCGCATCACTGCAGAAATATTCGAGAAGATTGACCAAATAGTTCATCATAAAGTTACTTTGGTGTCTGACATGGATTTCAGCTCAAATAATGAATCAAACAATAGAGATTTATACTTTCTCAACAAGCGCAACTTAACCCTATCCTCTCTTGCAGACTTACGAGTTTTTTAGTTCAAAATCTCTCAGAGTAGAGTTAGGAGGATTAAATTATATCTAATAGATGTCGCTACCAAAAACATAGACTTACGAGGATTTGCTGATGGGTGCGCTGAATTTCGTAGATGGTGAAAATGTTCAAACCTAAAATTCCCTAGAATTCGGACTTACGAGGTTTTGATAGTAAGTCGAAGACGATATAAGCGATGGCTCACTTCCTTGACGTCAGGACTGTCTGCACACCTTAAACCAGTTTCTGAAGAAATTGCTCAGGTCCCTGCTGACGCACTCTACATAGTAGGGAAGCCCAAGCGAGGATTTCGGGATTTACTCGAGCGCGGCAGATTAACATAATGGGGGTATCCTTGGACCTTGTGAAGTACTCCCACCATACCTGGGCCCTTTTTATGGTGTCGAAAGTTTGGGACAGCCGATCAGATTAGTAAAAAAAAATCGATCGTCAGAAATACTCGAGCGCATCAGATTAAGACATGCTGCATTTCAATAGTCTGACGATTTGAGGAAATGGGAGAGCCACAAAGGTGCAAAAAAATCGTCACCTGTACATTCTCGAGCGCTGTTAATTTTTTCCTTGTTTTGAAGACAATTAGTCATCCATCGGAAATAACATAATCTACCGATTTGCACAAGCCGAAGTAGCGAAAATCATTAATTAAGTGTGGTGCTTGCAGCCACTGGGAACTATGTATGTAATTGTGGTAACGTAGGAAACTGAAAAAAAGTATCACCTCGTATATTGTTATCAATCATCCTGTATTTCATTGCATTTTCAGATTCTCCCTTGTGAGCTGATTTCATCGATCTATCACATTTTACGAATACAGGGTGGTTCATAATTCAGAACTATGAACCACCCTGTATTCGTTCAAATTAAATGTCAGTAAATAGTGAATCAAAGGTTGGCCGATAATGAGTACTTTTGATACAAGAAATTCCGAAAGTTGAAAAATCTCGATTTTTTGCACCCTATTTCTCTGTGATAATTTCTCTTAAAACTAGAGTGTGATTTAGATCGTTGGAATCAGCTCATAAGGAGGAATCTAAAAATGCAATAAAATACAAGGTGTGCTATGAGAAAAAGTATAACTTTGATACGCCACGCATTTTTGAGTAACCCTGTATAACGCAAAATATTTCAGAAATGTACTGCTCATGAGACTAGACCAACTCAGAAATTTTTGTCCATATATCTCACAGCAAAGCCGTCATCTCACTTTACCACACTATTGATCCACCCTGTATGACTACATGAACCTTCCATCTCAAAATTGTGAATTCTTCGAGCTGTTGAAGTCCTGCTACAAAAAACTGACCCACCCTCTATATATTTTATATTTTATTCATTATACAGTTAAAAAAAATCCAAGCGTCAGATTAAGGTAATTCCTCTACATAATTGTCAGATTATGGGTCGATACGACAAGGACAGTAATCTGACGCGCGAGTATTTCAAGGTCACGATTTTTTTTCATTTTCAAAAATTGATCATGACTTCTGGTCGCGTCCAAATCGTCAGTCTTTCCAATATGAGCTACTTGAGGGTTCACTTAACGTCCCTTCTCAATATCTGACGCGCTCAAATACATTTTTTTTACCTATTCTCTATCCCTTCGTACGGCCACCCCCACCATGCAAACCGGCATGGAATATTTTTCGGTTATCAGAAACACGTGGGGCGCATACACTATTAATATCTGATGCTCTCGAGTATTTCTATGTGACTCTTTTTTCACATTTTACACCTGTACACGCTCTCCCCTCCAGTGAAAAGTCATGTATCATGTAAGCTTTTTTTCATTTTCGCATCTAATCTCCACAATCTGATACGTCCTCACGACGCTCGAGTAAATCCCTATTTAGCCTCTTTGCCTCCCCTACTAACACCCACCTTGGGTTCATTCATTGATTGGACTAATAAAACGAAGGAATATAAGCTATCTCTGTGTATATTTCATACGAGGCTTAGCTTCTGTTGCCTCTTCTGAGGGGCTGCCTCGAACATCAAATAGTCATTTCTCATTAATTCCTCAAAAATGCTTACCGGTTCAAGAGATACTCAACCAACCCACTGGTCTTGGGACACTCTGTTGCATATTGGCTCACCCTCTATCCATAAGAGTTCCTAAATGTACTTGACACTGCTGTTTTGACGTTCTTTTTTATATTAGAGTACGGACACTAGACAAGCATTGACAATCATACATAACCACAAACGATTGTGAAGCAAATCATATGTTTTGCCAGACGAGGACAAGAGTATGTTTTTCACTTAGATAAAGGATCCTCGCATCTTCCTTCCTCCACAAGTCCTGGGAAGAGTACATACATATATCTTTCTCTGTCTTTGATTTTTGTATGAGAAGCATAGCGTCTCCTCGAGTGGGTAAAAGGGTACGATAAATTAACTAGGAAATTATTTCTTGTCGAAATATTGAATGATAAGGCTGAAGGACGTCAATGGAGGTCGATATCAAGTTGGTATGTACAATATATACCAACGAAATACATATACTATTCCTATGAAATATATCTCTTATATGTAGTTGAATATTTTTTTATCACGAAAGTTCAGAATGGGGTAAAAACTGCTAAATTTCAACCAATAAAACATACTTTTACTTCCTATGAAACAATTTCACTTGTACAAGAGTGGTAACACTAACACGAAAATTTATCATATCACAAGCCAAAGACACCTCTCTATTGTTTTCTTCTATTTGTTTCCTGAATTCCTCACTCTCTTCCACTCGTAAACCTTGGATTTTTTTATATTCCTGCTCTAAAAATTCGATTCTCAAGTCTTTTTCTTTCAAAATATTTTCGAAATGAACTACATTATCTGCAAGTTTTTCGTTTCTTGTTGGTTCTAAATTGGAATAAGGTTCTTTTCGATACTCGCTCAGTTTATAAATTGTGGATTCAGCTCTTTCTCTCAATACGATCCAATTCTTCAACATCAAATCTTCCGAAGAATTTTGTGGAAATCTTATCGTTTGTGAAGTTTTTACATTTGCATCATATTCAGTTTCCATTTTTGTAGAATTACGTTATCCGATGGAAATTCGAGAGTGAATTGATTTCCCGTGTTCTCACAGTTGGAAACTGCACAAACTTGCATCTTTCTCCTAATTCTCTCAATTTGTCAAACCTTTGAATTTTATGTCATGTACGTCTGTGTACTGTCAGTTCCCGCTTTTCCATCAATTTATTTGTGGTTATGTCTCATTGTCAGTGCTTGTCATAGTGTCCGTACTCTAAAATAAATATAGGTCGCGTGCACGATGACCGACCCTGGAGGCAAAATATTGAAACACAACCTCATTCTTCTGTAAATTATTGAAACACAACCTCACTTTTTTATTTGGTTACAGAGGAATCAAAGGATTGACAAAGTTTTTCACAATATTTTGGCATACGAATCGTGTTTTTTGCGCTATTCATTAATTCAAGCATGCCTTCGCATTGTGCTGTTGTACAATGCACAAAAAATGCAGCAAGAGACTAAGGAATATGATTTTTCAGGTAAATAGTAATCTCACATAGTTATCATTATGAAATGTTGTCATTCCTTATTAAAATTCCTTCTGCCTTCTGCCACTCCTGCAATACTCACAAGCTATAATACTGCTAATAGATTGAAAATGTCTACAACACACACGATCGTCAGCATGTCAGACCAGTCCTCCCGATTGATTGCATGAATCCAATCTTCTTGCATTATTTCAGAAATTTCAGGTGTATTTCTATTAGCTCCTATCGCAGAAGGAATTCCGATGAGAAATCAGAGAAATTACCAAATTTCAAAAATGAAAACTATTGGTGAGTGACTATAGTAGGTACTTACTTTTAAATCATAATGTACCAATCGGATTCCTTCATCTTCCGCTGCAGTTTTTGTGCATTTTACAACAGCACAATGTGATGGCATGAGCGAATTGATGAATAGCGGAAAAATACGATTCATATCCCAAAATAATTGTGGTAAACTATTTCGATCACTTGTAAACAAATAAGAAAAGTGACGTGGTGTTTCAATGTTTTGCCTCCAGCGTCGGTCATCTGACAGTTCTTGCACGCAACCCATACAAAAAACGTCAAAACAGCAATGTCAAGTACATTTAGGAACTGTACTATCCATCATGCTCTGCTCTGTGAAATCGGCACAATTCGTTGTTCCAGACCCGGAAGACACGAACGGCGTGTCGGGCATCACCTTGCGCAACCACAAATGTTTGAACGAGTCCAAACCCGAGGGTCTGCCGCAACTGCCCTCCATCCTGCCCCACGATGTCGTCATGAAAGAGGCTGCCCAGGTCGATTGCAACCAGAACGGGATGACGGACGAGAAGATCCACTTCAACCACACTTCCGTAGAAAGATCCAACAGTGCTAACAGGAGGAGGACAAGGAACTCGAACAGAGTCGACACGATAGAAGAAGCGAAATGCGAGGAAGCCGTACCTTTTGAAGGGTTGCCCGAAGTGATAGCTGTTCATGAAAAAGGTAACGAAAGTAACATTGACAGCTGCCATCGACCAATATCAATTATACCCTACAGCCACTACTAAACATTTCTGACTATTCATTATATTGATGTTAGACCATTCAGAATCTTGTTTTGCTCAAATGGTCTGCTAATCGCTTAAATGCCTTAGATTAAGGATATGTGGAAAATACGCCAACACTAAACGAAGAAATATATCTGCATCTCTAAGAGAAGCCAAGATCGCTACTTCACTGCGCATATCAACATTTTAAATTCCACATTTGGCGGACATTTCGAAATCCTATAGCTGCAGTCACTCAGCTTTACTGAAAATGAAAACATATGTGGCTTTTGTTATCAATAATAAGAGCACTGAGGTAGTTGATGATCTAATTCTCGAAAGATTATAGCACATTTCATGTCACGCTGTAGGTAAATACAGCAAAACAACGCAATCAGTGTGAATGAGGTCACTATTGTAATAGACAATCAACTAAGTAGGAACATTCAAAATAAATGTCGCTAATATACATAAAACAGGAAGTATTTGAAGACATCTTTTAGCTCTGTTGTCCATAAAACCATCCAAAATGAAAGGCTATATTTTAGAGGAATACCTAATATCCTTCTAGTATATAGACGCAGCCTGGTCTTCACAAAAACTAAAACATTAACTATTTATCTTATAAACATCCTAAAATCATCCTAGTCATGAAAAGATAGTACTATTGAGGATACCGTTAACCGTTCCAGCATATGGTTCTAGCAGTGAAAGTCAAAATTTCAGTTGAAAACTGCATAAAACTTTGAATGTCATAGCAATGTCATCTGATGACCTTGGCGACCGCGAATTTCGGAACAAACATTTGCTTGAAAGGTTTCATTCAACTGTCATAAGGTGACGTTCGGATTTTGAAATTGTCATTGTAAGTGCGTCTTGCGTCGTTAAAACTTCCGCCTAAGTATAGGAGGAGAATATTTTTTATCCTTCACAATGTTGGCGTGTTTTTGAGTTTACTAGAATCCGACCATCTAAACTTAGGGATACCACGTGACTCAACGCATGTTCAATGCCTAGGCGACCACGTTCTGTCTCAAAGTTGGTCTGACTCTACTAGCAGTCCATATGATGAGCCAGCGAGAGTCGGTGGTAAGAATTTTTATTCAGATTCAAATTCCAGCATAAACAGACTGCAAGAATCGACAACAGCAAGTGTCTACTGCAATTAAATGGTGGTCCCGTTCTTTATTTCAATATTTCATTGGTAATCCGTTGTTGACCTGCTTTCCACTTCAAGAATTATTCGATGCTATCTAAGATTTTGATGAATTGAATGAGCAGTTGATATTAACCCTCCAATAGCTCTTCCTAATCAAGGGAGCAAAGGTATCAGTTTCCTTCCGCATGGTATGTTTGATTGGATATTATTGTGATATATGGAGAGATTTATGAAATTATTAAAATGAAATTTGTTAAATACTGTCTGTTGTTATTTATGATGGTGATGAAGAAAAATTTTGGATTTAACGGATCTTATGGATATTATTGATATTATAGCACCTACCTAGTGTGCATAATGCGTCGAAAAATATATCGTAGACTGGTTTCGAAAGTATTTCAATATATTTATATGAATTGAAAGGCAATCCAATTATTTTGCCAGTAACTATCAAATTCAAAAGTCGTCTGTTCTACTTGTGTATATATTAATTGAAACAACAAAATATCATCAGCTTCTCTGAATGCACCAATCCTCAACAGATATATTGGTAACAGCAGAGTATTCTGGAGCCGATATACTTTAACTTCCACTGGAAGTATTATTTGTGTGTTCAAAAACCATGGGACTATCGTTTGATTCCAGTTGAACCATGTATATGCAGGAACTCGAATCTGAGTGAGAATTATGTCCATTAAGGATTCAAGCTAATGTTCATAATGAAAATTATCAAACTCTGATGGGCGCTTCAGAAGATTATCAAACCATCTAGAATAGGATTATTTCCCACAATTGAATTGCCGTCCAAACATTATAAACTGGCCAACCATCAAATCCAATCCAATTTTCGTTTCTATCCATGAAACGGTGTCGGATGAAAATGTGACCTACTCTGAGTGTCCCATGTTTGAGTGGCTGTAACTCCTTAAGGAGGAATTTTCGAACCCATGCTGATATGAAATTTAATTCTCATTTCCTGAATGTATCAGTGAAGTTTACTTGTTTAAACTTGTTATCACATGACGGAAGTATGTCCGAAATATAATAAGTATTATGTGATAGGTACAGATGAACATAAGACGTATTCAGGTAGGTACTTATGGAACTTTACCCTTCGCCCGAAATTAATTCAATGACAAGTAGTCACAAGAGGGAGCTAATAAAATTGGCAACATTTCGATGTTTGTAAACAAACCGATAAAAATTCATGGCCTACGTCTCAGAAGTTTTTTCTCTCTCCTGTATCCCATATTTCAATGTCCATGATTAGTTCAGAAATTTGGTATGAAACCGTAGGATCGCACGTTCTAGTCGTAAGATATAAAGATTATGAGTTGTGTGAGTAATACTCCCGTGGAAAATGCCACCTCTGCCACAGCCGCCCCCTAGCTACTGTACTGACAAAATCGTAATTAAAATGTTCCTCAACCACTCAAAGAGCCCATCGAGATCGAGAGAAGCGACCCGACGCCGAACAGCGACGTCTACGAGTTCAACGACGACGACACCTCAGACGACGTCACTCTCCGCCAAACGCGAACCGACCCCGAGCCGCCCGAAGTGGCCCGAGTCGAACCGACGGCCGCCGAGCCCGAGCCGTCGGAACCGGACATCGCCGAGCGCGTTCAACCGCCCGTGTGCGTTCAGAGGACGCCGGAGAAGGGCGGCCGCCTGAAGCTGACCTTGAGGATGAAGCGCAGCCCCGTGCTGGACGAGGTGATCGAGTCGGGCACCAGCTTGTCGGACGAGTACTTCGAGCCGGAGTACGAGGTGTTGAGGGTGGAGGGGATGGAGGAGAGCATTGTCGATGCGTACGCGCATAGGAAGAAGCGGCACAAGTCGAAGGATAGGTGAGTTTTTTCTTCATCACACTATTCAACAGATACAAGATCCAATTACGGAATATGAATAAACTAAGTATTATTACTTGAGTATACGACAGGGTTTCTATAAATGATCCGTAGTAGCCGTTGAAATATTTTCTCCATTTGCAGCCTTTCATTTATGGAGATTCACACATTCGAATTTTATTTCTGACATCAATCATTATACTGTCATAGCTGATAATCTCACAATTGTCTGTTTTTCGTTAAAATTTTCAAACGATTCTGTTTTCTACTTCGTGATTGTCGTGTTGAAAAGAGGGATGGCTTATTCCTCGGAGCAGAATACATTTATTGTTTCATCAATGGTGGATGGAGTTACTCGGTAGTAGCCTGCAAGGATGAGTACCTGGCGAAATATCCTAATGTACAGATTCAAGAATCTTCTTTGAAAGCCCACATCAGAACAGTGATCAACAGATTCATCCAAACTGGAAACGTTAATAAAAAGAAATCAACAGGAAGGCCCCAAATATCGGAAGAAGTTGTCGAAAATCTGAGGGCGCGTGTTGAGCAAAATCCCCAAACGTCATTGAATAGATTATCTTTACAATCTGGTGTGCCACTAAGTACATGCCATAAAGTGCTCAAGAAAAGATTGCATATGCACCCTTACAAGACCAGTGTACTACAGCAACTTCTGCCAATAGATATCCCACCTCGTCTGGAGTACTGCCAATGGTTCCAAAATAATCTCAACGATGACCAGCTATTGGACCTTTTCAGCGATGAGGCTTGGTTTCATTTGTCGGGATACGTGAACTCACAAAATTTTAGGTTTTGGAGATCATTTCATTTCATTGAGACTCCACTACATTCTCAAAAAATTGGGGTGTGGTTAGCAGTTTTTCGTAGGTGAATATATGGACCGATTTTCTTCGATGGCACTATCAATGGTGAAAGATACAGACAAGTGATGTTAGAACCATTCATCAATCAACTTGATGATGAAGAAATTCGAGTTGGCCATTTTCAGCAAGATGGGACCACTGCCCACACCACACGTGCAAATTTAGAATATTTACACGAATTTTATGACAACCGTGTGATAAGTCGAGGAGTTAATCCTTCTTTTCTAGCACGTTCTCCAGATTTGACGCCTTTGGATTTCTGCCTGTTTGGATATTTGAAAGACGAAGTATTCAAGAGAGACAATAATAACCTTGAAGAGCTGCAAGCCTCAATAACACATTGCTGCCAAAATATTGGCCCGGAAATGCTGAGGAACATTTTCGACAACAAACGGCGAAGAGTTTTGAAATGCTTGGAGAACATTTTGAACATTTGATGTAGGTTTTTGATTTGTTCCATTATTTTTCAAACTCTAATATTGGACTCTCCTTTCTTTGAGATACATTTCCATAGTGTATGCAAAAGGATTTAAAAAAAGATCCTGTATATGATCACTTCCTCTCTTTTTGGTCGTTAAATGTTGTTAACAGCATTAGTTGAAAGCGGCAAATGGAAAAAAATTCAACAGCCACTACGATGTTACGATCATTTATAGAGACCCTGTAGTATTACTAAAATAATACATTCAAATTTTACAATGGAAAAAACAGAACAGTCCAGTTTTTTTATGGAGACCAAACTGCAGCAAAAAATGTTGATGGTTTCATTCATCGTATTATACAGGGTTACTGGTAATTCGATACATTCCTTTGCAAATGTGATAGGGAAGGTGGTAAGGAGTAAATTAAACCCTAATATGCATTATGCAAAAGTTGATAGTTTTTGAGATATTCAATTTTTTTGTTTTTCTCCAAGAGGTACACTTCAAGGGTTTAAAAGTTAGTTTCCCGAAAATCTGCTCTACAGTTTTCTAAACCTTTAACGTCTTATGTTTGGAATGGCAAAATTACAGAAATTATTTAGATCATTGATAAATTGTAGATACAAAGTCATATTTTTGTTTGTGAATTGTGGATTTCAACACTTTCTAGCGGTTATTTTTAGAAAATCTCTAAGCCACATTTGTCAAAAATTTGTTAAAACTTCCTTAAGGCAATAGCTATCTAACTGGGTACACTAAAAGTGCTTGATACGGATTTGTTATTTATTTTTCGCAGTTTTTATTTTCGTTTATTTGCTCCAGGCATCCAAATAGCATAACAAATGTTCATAACCTCCATCATTGGGCCGAAGAAAACCCTCGTTCAACAGGGGAAACTAGTTTCCAACGGCAGTTTTTTGTTAATGTGTTGATGGAACTCATTTACAGTTATTTGATAGGACCATATTTTTTCCTAAACAATTTAAACAGGGAAATGTATGAAAATTTTTTACGGCATGATCTACAGGAGCTTCTTGAGGATGTTTCTCTCGCCATCAGAGGACGGATGATATTCCAACAAGACGGTTGTTCAGCGCATTATCGGCAGATCGTTCGGCAGTTCCTATATGAACGTTTTTTGAACCGTTGGATTAGAAGGTCAGGTCGAATAGGTCGACCAGCGCGAAGCCCTGAACTAACCCCCCTTGATCATTATGTGTGTGGTCATATGGAAGCGCTAGCTAATGGAACTCCAGTAAATACCCAGTAAATACCAGTAACCCTGTATATAGAACGCATCTTGTAAAGAGGTGCATGAAATTTTGAGTCTGGGAACATGAAAGTGTATCATCTCCAAAATTCAGCTGCAGTCCAAATTGTTCCGGATAACATTGAAAAGGAATATAACATGCGACCTATTCCGACGATCTAGAAGTGAAGCAACTGAAAATCGTGAAAGAAGTTGATCATGTGGATGACCTACATCTGGGTAGTTGCCATCTAGTTTAAAACATAGGTACTTCAAAAATTCTCGTTGGATATTTTCTAAATTAGATATATGTACCTGATAATGTGGTGGCCCAACTATTGATGCATACTCTGAATTCGATCTAACAAATGTAAAATATAATTGCAGAAGCATTTTCTCATATCTATACGCTTTTTTAACGACTTGCTCGATATAATTTCCAAACGATAGTTTTTTTTGTCAAATATTACTCCTAGATCTTGGAAAGTCTCAGGTCGGTTCAATACGACATTGTCTAGTCTATAATTGTGAATAATTGGATTCAGTTTGGCGGTAAAGGACATAACATGATATTTGGAGACAGACATTAAGGAATGAATTATTCTCGATGCACCAAACATTGGGTCTGTCAAGATTTTCTTGTAGAACAGTGTTTGGGATTAAATAAAAGTGAACTGTATGTAATTTAGTTTTGTAAAAAATGGTTTATTATTTAAGGTTTTAACAAGCTGTACGAACTCTGTCGCTGTACGCAATACAAGTGGCGACTCTCTCAGTCGTCAAAAACAACCACACGGAGTAGGTAAAATGGAGGGGCAACGCAGTGCCGTATCATGAGGCGTTCTTGCCTGAACATACCGGCCGCCTTGAAAGTACTCCCTTTCAATAAAAAATACGAAATACAAAAAAAAGTTGAACCAGATAAAAAGTAATATACAATGCGTTGAAAAATACTCAAACGTTCAACTGGATACATAATGAGTCAATCATCAATCGGTAGTGCACAAACTCGCGAAACAGCCCTTTTCACTACACGATCTTTCACCTTTACGCTTACTACTCTGGTGATGTTGTCGTCACCTGGATGCAGCTGCACTATTCTGCCTAGCTGCCAATTCAGCACCGGTAAGTTGTCATCCTTTACTAGAACTAAGGTGCCCACCTTGAGGAACTGCGACGAATGTTGTTTCCATTTAGTTCTGGACTGCAACTCAGAAATGTACTCCTTCTGCCAACGTGCCCAGAATTGTTGGTAAATCGCTTGCAGCCTCTGGTACCGATTTAAGCGATTCTCTGGTTTGTCAGTCCAATTGTGTTCAGGGATAGACACTAGCGATCTCCCAATTAAAAAATGTCCTGGTGTCAATGCTGTGACGTCCTCAGGATCGGAGGATAGAGGGGATAAGGGTCTCGAATTTAAAACTGCCTCGATCTGAGCCAGTGCCGTCGAAAATTCCTCGAATGTTAAAGATGCATTCCCCATAACTCGTTTTAAATGGTACTTGCTACTCTTAATACCGGCTTCCCATATACCTCCAAACGAGGCAGATCTCGCGGGTATAAAATGCCATTTAATATTGTCGTTGATTAGAAAATTCCCTACTACCTCAGACATTGATTCGACAAAACTGTAAAATTGTTTTATTTCATTATTAGCTCCGACAAAGTTCGAACCATTGTCTGAAAATATATTATTAGGTTTACCGCGTCGTGCGATAAAGCGTTTCAATGTCGCTAAAAATGATTCAGTAGTCAGATCAGACACTGCCTCTAAGTGCACGGCCTTCGAGGACATACATACGAATAAACACATATATACTTTTATGGATTTCGCTCCACGACCCTTTCGATCCTTGAGAATAAATGGACCTCCATAATCGATTCCAACATTTAAAAAGGGTAGGGAAGGATTGACTCGAATTTCAGGTAAGTTTCCCATCAGGTAATCTGCTCCCTTAGGGTTAGTTTTAAAACAAGTGACACATTTTCTTACAATACCCTTGGCCAGTTTTCGTCCTGAAATAGGCCAATAATTTTCTCGAACATTATATAACAGTGCTTGTGGTCCGCAATGTAGTAAACCCTTGTGCCTATCTATCAATATAAGTTCAGTTAGTTTATGGTTTTGAGGCAATAAAACTGGGTGTAATTTATCATAATGCTCATGAGAATTTTTGATTCTACCTCCGACTCTTATCAAATTATTATTATCAAGGAATGGATTTAATGATAGTATTTTACTTTTCCTATGCAAAGGCTTGCCTAACTTCAAATTATCATAGTCTAATGAGAAACATTCTTGTTGACAAATTCTCAGTAAAGTATTCAATGCACACTTCAATTCTACCTGTGTCAACGGTCCAAATATTCTATTGTCATTAGGTAATCTTGTATTCTTACTAAATCTGAGTATATATGCTACTGTTCTCTGTAATTTTCTCAGAG